GACATATCTTAGGATCCTCTTGGCTACTGCCAAATGAGACACCTTCGGTCTCCTCATGAATTTACTTACAATATCAGCACTAAACACCAAGTCCGACCGCATATTGCTCAAATAACGCAAGATCCAGTCAACCTACTATATTGAGTTGGATCAACATCTTGCTCATCCTCATTCTTAGACAAATGCAACCTTATTTCAGCTAGAGAAATGACAACATTACAATGCTCCATTTCAAACTTCTTCAATATCTCAAGAGCATATCTTCTATTGTGCATGCACAATCCCCTTTTGGACTTGTGGAACTCAATACCAAGGAAGTATGTCACGAGATCAAGGTCGGGTTTCATCTCAAACTCTTTCATAAGTTCACTCTTGAACTTTGAAATACACTTTTCATTGATACCCGTGGTAAAAAAGTCGTGTATATATATATATATATATATATATATATATATATATATATATATATATATATATGTGTGTGTGTGTGTGTGTGTGTGTGTGTGTGTGTGTGTGTGTGTGTGTGTGTATGTGTGTGTGTATGTGTGTGTGTGTGTGTGGATTCAATTCAAAGACTGTGATTTGGAGTAAGTTAAAAAAACTTACTCTTGAAGTAAGTTGATCTCCACTGTATATATATATATATATATATATATATATATATATATATATATATATATATATATATATATATATATATATATATATATATATATATATATATATATATATATATATATATATATATATATATATATATATATATATATATATATATATATATATATATATATATATATATATATATATATATATGGGGTTTGCTAACGTAGACCCACTTATTTTTATGAAGGTATATTTTAGCAACACGCACCTTAGAGTGCATTTAATCATTTTTTAGTTAAAGCTTGCTAAAACACACCTTCATAAAATACACTCACTTATTTTTATGAAGATGTGTTTTACTAACATGTGCCTTAAGAAACATTTAAGGATTTTTTTAGTTAAAACTTGTTAAAATAGATGTTCATAAAAACAAGTGGGTCTACGTTAAATATATATATATATATATATATATATTAAAAATTTCATAAGGACAAGTGTTTGTAATTGAATAAATGGTTTTTTTTTTAAATAGTATCAATATGAAAATAGAAGAATTATATTACATTAATTATTATTTTCTCACATTTTTCACAATTTGTTTTTCTAGAACTAAGTAAATTAAATGGCTATTCGTACGTACAACTAATACACGGAATAAATATTTTGTCACAATTCAATCAATTAAACTAAATTATTTCTAATATTTTTGAAAAAAATTGATTAATATTAAAAAAAGAAGTGATATGTATATAAATTTAATTGATATGCATCGACTATCAATACATCATCAATCTCATGTATTATGCCACATTATATTGTAAATTTTAAGTTAATGATATAGCATGACAAATTGATAAGTTTTTATTGAAAGACAATATATAATTATTTTAGACTTGAGTGCATATCAATTAAATTTTATGTAGGAATGACAATTGACCCATCCTCAACGGGTACCCACAAAATTACTTAAAATCCGCAAAAATAGATACAGGCACATATTCAGGTAATTACCCACAAAAATAAACATATATGAGTGAGGGTATGAGCATTTTGGCACCAAGTTCGCCTTATACCCGCACAATATATATTTATGTATTTTAATTTATATTTATATATTTAAGTTAATATTATTATATAAACATGTACTTCTATCAATTTTAAAAAGTATATAAATGTTAAACAATTAAATATAATATAAGTGTGAGTTTATTTAAATAATAAAATTTTTGAAAACTGTTATGGACTGGGCCGACGCTTAGCTCACAACAAACAGGCCCAAGCCCCAATGAAGTTGGGCCCAAGAATATCACGCTAACGGGCAGAATCTCCGTCGAGCAGGACACCTCCTTGTCTGGCACAGGCCAACACCCGTCGAGCAGGACCATCGCTTCCGACCAGGCAGTCTACCTCTTCCCCTTCGTCGGACAAAACCCTTGTATCCGGCCAGCCACCTCTGTCTGCCTGGGTGACTCCTCGGGCCTTCCCCCACGTTCTCCACGTGTCCCTCACGCAGGGACACGTCATAACGTAACTACCCACTTCCTGGAGATTCGGTCTTCCTCCCCCCGGATAGTGCAGAACAGTTATCCTAGGGGGAAGACCACATCCTGCTCTTCACGATGCCACGTCAGCCCTAGGGCGAAGACCACTTCCTACTCTTCACGACGCCACGTCAGCTCTAGCAGTTACTAACATTGGGCCTGGCATCCCAGCCCAGTGTTAGGTAACCATTGGCCCTACGCTGAGGGCTCACTATAAATACCCTCTTCACCAGAGGGTCAGGTAACTGAACTTTCTTACTCTTTGTACTTACTTCCACTCTGCTCGTCACTTACTTTGGTATCAGAGTGTGTTTCAGGTACACAACGTGGCAGATCATCGATCTCCTTCTGGTCAGGTACGATCAAAAACTTTTTTAATGTTTTTAAAATTTTAAAATGATATGATATTTTATAATTAATCAATTTATTTTTAATAAGAATGTGGATAGCGAGTACGAAATATGGACACTTACGTATCTATAAGGTATATGTATGAGTGTAAATTTTAATGTCCAATCAAATATGAGTTTGGGTCTGGAGATTTTTTCAAATTACAAGTATAGAGATGAATATTATAGTACCTTGTCTAAACTCTGTCTGTTGTCATTCTTAATTCTATATATATTTTATAATAATATTTGATATTGATACATTAAGAAAAAAATGTAGCAGTTATTTGTAACTAATAAGACCAACTCCAATGAGAGTTCTTAGAGTGAGTTTGCCAACATGACACTCAGAGCATCTCCAATTGTGCAACCCATTTTTAGGTTCTTTATGGGACCCACTCTTTTAAAGCAACTCATTCAATTTTCACTCCAATGGTGCAACTCTAAAGAATCCATATTGGGTCCCACCACTTTACTTAAAAAATATTATTTATATTAAATTTATTTTATTTAAAATTATAATTTAAATATTTAAATTTTAATTAAAATGATAATTAAAATAATAAATAAAATTTTATATTAAATTATAGTTTTTATATTATAAAATTAATATTTTAATATAAGAACCATTGCATATTTAAGAACTTTTCCATCTTGAAAACAACAAATATGAGTGCCATGTTGGCAAACCCACTCTAAGAACTCCCATTGGAGTTGGTCTCATATTTGTTGTTTTCAAGATGGAAAAGTTCTTAAATATGCAACGGTTCTTCAATGGTTCTTATATTAAAATATTAATTTTATAATATAAAAACTATAATTTGATGTAAAATTTTATTTATTATTTTAATTATCATTTTAATTAAAATTTAAATATTTAAATAATAATTTTAAATAAAATAAATTTAATATAAATAATATTTTTTAAGTAAAGTGGTGGGACCCAATATAAATTCTTTAGAGTTGCACCATTGGAGTGAAAATTGAATGAGTTGCTTTAAAAGAGTGGGTCCCACAAAGAACCTAAAAATGGGTTGCCCCATTGGAGATGCTCTAAGTATAAAAAATCTGAGACAAACATTTATTAATTATATATAACAAATGCAAAATAAATATTTTTTATTGATTAAAAAATATGGGATATATTTTTTTCATTGATAAATCATTAAAAAAATAGGGATAAATATTTACATTTTATGATATTAAAAGAAATACAACACGTTTTTTTTATCAGTACACATTTTTAATAACCAAGTTATAAAATTTTTAAATTTACAAAAAATAAATTTGACAATTTAGTTCACATTTTTAATAACCAAATTATAACCATTATAATTATTTTATTCAATTACGTTGAAAGTCTCTAATTACTTTATCTAAAAACATTTTTTAAATTATTTATGTTGTTTTATTTTAATTATATTAATTATATTTTATATAACTTTTATTAATCAATTAAATATACATTCTATTTTATTATTATCTAACATTTATCGGTATATATATTAAAATTTGTTGGTTTAATTGCAAATTTAATTCCTTTATTTTTATTTTTGTTTTATTTTTATTTTCTATTTTAAAATCTAGAATTTTTGTTCATCAATTTTTTTTTTTTGATTTTTGGTCTCTCTTTTTTAAAATTCAGAATTTTTGTACGTTTATTTTTATTTTTTTTGAATTTTGGTCCTTTTATTTTTATTTTTTAAACTTTTGATCCCCTATTACATTAGTTTTAAATTAAAAGAGGAATTAAAACTCAAAACAGAATTTAAAATAGGGAATTAAAACTATAAAAAAAATGAATATAAAGAGATAATAATTTCAGAATTTAAAATAAAGGGTCAAAATTAAAAGAAAATGAAAATAGAGAGACAAAAATTTCAAATTTTAAAATAAAAAGATTAAAATTTTAAAAAAATAAAAATAAAGAAACTAAAATTACAATTAAACCAAATTTATAATAATTTTGTGCATCACGCTGATAGTATATTTTTAAAAGTAAACCATCAATTTGACTTTTTAACCCATCATTCTCTCCGCTTTGATACACAAACTTTAAAAATATAATAAAAGTCTTGAAATTATTATTAACCTCAAAATTTAATTTTTTAAGTTTTTGTAAAGCAGGAGAAGGAACCTATCCATTTTCTTTTTAGAAATTAGAATTGGCCTTTTAAAAGTAAACAAGAAGATGTCACAACTTTAAACTTGCACCATGTTTCTGCAAAACTATTATATGAGTTGATTAAATAGATACAATCTCGATCAATTTAATTAGTAATTCAATTTAATTACTATTTGAACCGGTTTTAGCATTTGAACCGCCGGTCCGGTTTTAGACCACTCCGTAAACCCTTTCTTGTCTTATCCCGCTCAGCTGAAACTATACACTAAAACCCTAACCTTGTAAGAAAATACAAAACACCAAAACCCTAATTAACAGCAACTCCGCCACACCCATTACATGAAGGGGCAGAGAAAGAAATCGGCAACGCCCAAGAAATCGACGGCGATGGATCAAAAAGACGAGAATGTAGAGAATCAGAAGGAAGCACCAGTTCCATCCGATTCCGAAGAAGACTCTGATTACGAGGTATTCCATCTTCAAATTTGCGCTGTATTCTCTTATGCTAGAATCATACTCTATTCTGGTTGTTGCAGTACTTTTCTGGAGATAGCGACCACGACGAGGACTCTTCCGAATCACTGGACTCTCAATCTGAATCTGCTGGTTCTGGTGAACTAGAAGATGCTGATGGTGATAACTCCGGTGAATCAGAGGATGCAGAATCTCAAGACGAGGTTCGTTACTCTTTTCTCAATCACCTACTACTATAAAACTATAAGTACCTTGTTCTCCTTTTTATATTAATGTGCTTAAAGGAAATTATTGCAGGATGTTGTCAACTCAGAAAGTGGAAGTGAGAGCTCTGATCTTCATCAGGGAGGAGGAGGAGGAGTTGAGAGTGATTCATCTGAGGATGAGGTGTTCATCATCTTCATCACCTGTAATTGCTTCCCATTTCTATCACGGAGCTGAATTTGATTACTTTGTCTTTCCTTTATCATAGGTGGCTCCTCGAAATACGATTGGAGACGTTCCTTTGAAATGGTATGCCGATGAACCCCATATTGGATATGACATTACGGGAAAGAAGATTAAGAAGAAAGAGAAGGCAGACAAATTGGATTCCTTTCTTAAAAATGTTGATGATTCTAAGAATTGGTTCGTTTCATATTTCTACTTAAATCAACTTGCTCTCTCTATTTTGATTTTCACTACTGCATTCTTTTTCATCTCCTGATGTTTATCAACACTCAAAGACAACTTTCCATCCTTATACAAACTGCTCACATAGCGAGTTTGCTTATAGGCGAACTTGCAGACTTACATAGGTTAGGTACATAGACATGTGCCTTGTCTTCTGTAAGTTTGAAGCTTATAATTTAATTAAAAATACTTTGTATCTTTTTCTCTCTGAGACAAAGTAATGTCCTTTTAAATTTATAAACAAGTTGTAGAGAATAATTTTCAATATAATAACTGTTTACCAAAGAACAATAGTGGGGGGAAATTTGTTTGAGTTACACACAAGATAGCTGGAACACGTGAGAGGAAGATCAATAGGGCCCCCCAGTTAAGAGTTGATTACATGTAGAATATTCTGATAACTGTGGATAGAGAGGTAGGCCAATAAAGAAGACTCATTGTGAAGCACTTATAAAGATTCTAGAAATAAACGGTTTCAATGAATAACAACGATGTTGTGTTTAGATTTTTTATTTATTTTTAGTTTTCTTTCATCGTACACCATATTGTATTTTTTTCCTCAACCATAGATTTCCAAGATAGTCATTGTTTTAGTTTTTTAATTTTTTTAGTGTTTCACAGATATAACTTGCTTTGTTTTTGCATGACTCCTGGTGTGATATTATTTCACAATGGTTAGCTTTTATCTTTAGAAAACATCATTGATTTGATTTTATTCTTTGATTTTTTAGGCGGAAGATCTATGATGAGTACAATGATGAGGTAGTGGAGCTCACAAAAGATGAAATCAAAATGGTGCGCAGACTACTCAAGAATGGGGCACCACATCCCGACTTCGATCCATATCCGGTATGTAACTTTCATTTTCATTTTTCATTCTTTATAATACTATCAATATAATGTTTGAAACACATTTAGCGCGTATAATTCCTTAATTTCATATCTCCTTTATAATGTGCAGGCTTATGTTGATTGGTTCAAATGGGATGATGCCAAACATCCATTGTCGAACGCACCAGAACCCAAACGAAGGTTTATTCCTTCAAAGTGGGAAGCTAAGAAGGTAAATTGTTCCTTCATTTAATTTGTGCATTATAATGAAAGAAGTCAATTGGATGGAGATTATCCAGGTTAGCCAAAGAAAGCAAATTGATTTCTCTCATCAATCATCTATTTCTATTACTGAACAGGTTGTCCAGTATGTTAGAGCAATCCGCAAGGGATTAATTACTTTTGACAAGCCAAAGGAGGCTGATGGTCCATTTCTCTTGTGGGAAGATGATTCTGGTTTGACCGAAAAAGCAAATCATTTGGCATACATTCCTGCACCAAAGCAGAAGTTACCTGGTATTGAGTGTGACTTTAATTTTGGAATTCAATATAATATTAGTTTTTCCTTTGAGGTACATTTAGTGTTAATAATTTCAATTTGCTTCTCAGGCCATGATGAGTCATATAATCCTCCTTTAGAGTATATTCCAACCCAAGAAGAGATTAATTCATATCAGTTGATGTTTGAAGAAGACCGCCCTAAATTTATTCCAAAAAGGTATTGTGCTTCCAGGGTAGACATTTTTTGCTTTCTCTCATACAGTTGAACTAACAAATATTAATTGCCAGCTTTACATCTATGAGAAGCATCCCTGCGTATGAGAATGCCATGAAGGAAGCTTTTGAACGCTGTTTAGACTTGTACTTGTGCCCCCGAATTCGGAAAAAACGTGTGAGTGAATACTTTGTTTTAATTACATTAGTATTGTGTGTTTCATAATTTTGCTGATTTTTTTTTCAACTCAAATGCTATATTTAATACTTTGCTTTAATTACATTAGTATTGTGTGTGTTTCATAATTGGCGTAATTCATTTACATTTTGTTTTTCTCCTCTGTTCCAGCTTAATATTGATCCTGAATCTTTAAAGCCAAAGCTTCCAAGTAAAAAGGAGCTCAAGCCTTACCCGATTACATGCTATATTGAATTTAAAGGCCATGAAGGTGCAGTGACGTCAATTTCAGTTGAAGCTTCAGGGCAGTGGATGGCTTCAGGTATAGGTGTTGGTAACATATTTTGTTCTCAATTACAAGATGATTGTGGTGTGTATCCTCACTTTCTCTTTATTTGCATAGGTTCAAGTGATGGAACAGTCCGTGTCTGGGAGGTTGAAACAGGCAGATGTTTGAGACGGTGGGAGGTTGGCGAAGCTGTGAGCTGTGTTGCTTGGAATCCTCTGTCCGATATTCATATTTTGGCCGTCTCTGCGTAAGTCTAGTTTCATTGACTATAAAAATATGTATTATAAAATCTTGGAAGTTTTCCTTTTGAATATACACGTGGCTCGATTCTGAACATAAATGATTCTATTTTCCATTTAGGGGACAAGATGTACTTCTTCTAAACACTTGCTTGGGTGATGAAGAAGAACAGAAAAAGATTAAGGAGCTTCTCTGGGCCGAACCACCAAAAACATCAGATGACACTGGTCAGTGTTGTTGTTACTTCTTTTTCTTTGGATGTAATATAAATTGATCCAATAGAAGGCTCCAAGATGTCCCAACTCCCACGTAAGCATATGTTAGGAACCTTACTCTTGGTATAAGAAAGAATTCCCAAACTGGGCAGAATTGAATAAACAAATGAATGATTCTATTGAAAGATGGATAAAGGATAAAAGATAATAGGAAGAATAAGAGAGAATCTCTCCTCAAGCGTTTCCTCTTCACAATAGAGAATACTCTATTCACAATTACAAATATTCAAAGATACACTCTAACCATTCAAAAATACTCTCTAAACTATATTTTCTCCCTTTTATACACATACTTTCTATAACAATCTCAACTAACTAACTTCAATAACAACTCTTGACTGCTTTAAATACTCTAATTTTCCTATAGATTGTAATCCTAACAGCATATATGACCCCGGCTAAACTTCAATTATAGAAATACCGTCAGTTCAGAATTTAAAGCTAACTGGCCACTGTGGAAGGACATTGACTTCATATTTTCTGCAACTCTTATGATATCTGATGTCTTCATGCTAATTTGTTTTGTTATTTCTAACCACACTTGTGATTGCAGGCACAAAAGCACCTAGTGTAAGCTGGATTAAAGACGATGAACACGAGGGTATCAGATTAAAGCATTTAAAGGTATTTCCATGTCTATTTCTAGTTTGGTTTGCTTGTTGATGAACATTTGAAGGTATTTAACATTAGTGGATGTGTTCATGCAGGCTGTTACTGCTGTGGAATGGCATCGGAAAGGGGACTACTTTTCAACAGTGATGCCAAAAGATATCCTGTCTAAGTGCTGTGTCAGCTTTAGCTGATATGTACTTCCTTTATTGTTGATTTAGTAGTTGATGATAATAGTTATGCATTTCTAAGTGAGGAAACATGTTTATACAATATTAATATCTTACATCATTTTTTCTGTTGAAAGGATAATAATGCACATCGAGGGTCACATACTTATCATTGCACATGTATGTTACCGCATCATACCTCACTGACAGTCTTCAGCGCTTTCAACACAGCACGGACCATAACTGGCTTTTTGACACATTAACTTTAATCACAGTGAAAAGAAACATACATGGGGTGTTAGTTCCATGTCATTCCACTCGCTTCATGTAATATCTGCTTCCATTGATGTCTGTGTTGTGTGAATAGATTTTTCACAGACCTTGTAGAAACAGTATTAAACTGATTGGTTACCAACTTTTAGCCGATTTTTTTTATAAGGAAAATTTAAGAGGTATAAGATATTATATTTGGGATCGACTCATCATTTCCTTAACATATTCTTTACGTGAGTCAAGATCAGTTCTCATACACCAGTTGTCCAAGAAAGCTACACAAAAACTTCCATTCAAGTTACGTGGAATTGCTGTTAGATCAACTTTCCATCCATCCCGTTCCATCTTCTTTATTTGTACACAAAAGAGTGTTCGTGTGTATGATTTGTTAAAGTCCAAACTCATAAAAAAGCTTGATACGGGCCTCAAAGAAGCCTCGTCCATTGCAGTCCATCCTGGAGGTATCAATATTAGTTATGAAGAAATTAATTCGTTATCAGTTTTCTTCTAGTTATAAATGCAGTAAATCATTCATCACATTTCTCTTTACACATTACATGCAGGTGATAATTTAATTGTGGGGAGCAAAGAAGGGAAGCTTTGTTGGTTTGACATGGACCTTTCGTCTAAACCATATAAAATTCTTAAGTAAGTACTTTCTTGTAGTTAATTGAAAATAATACTAAAACTCGTGATGTTCTTTTCTGCCAGTCGCCATAGTGGTTCTCTGCAGCCCTATGCAGATTATATTATACAGTGTGTGTTATAGATCTTTTTGAATGTTTGGAGGAAATAATTTGCTTTAAGGCAGAAACCATTAGAAATTTCTTGAAAGATTTACCTGTGAGAAAGTGTAGTAAAGTTCAACCTTTTAATTGCTGTCATTTACCAAATTTTCTAGGTATATGCATGCTCAGCAGGCTATCAATGTAATGAATGCTAGTTTTTTTTTTGTTAATCTTTCATCAACTTACAATTTTTTTATTTTAAAAAATCTACGCACTGGTTTGGATTTATGCTTTTATTTTCTATTTTTATCCTTAATTACATAACTGTTTCCCTTTTTACGCCATTTCTTTTTCCACAGTTTTGTATAACAAACCGTTAGAAAAAAGAAGGATTCAAATGCTATGTAGTTCTCGGCTGTAGCCATTGTAGAGTCCAGGGAATGGTTTCTATCTATTGTATTTAGCTTACTTGCTTAAGAAAAAGGCTAATTCATTATTCAACTTGAACCGGTGATCTTTCATCAGAAGGTCACACAACTGGAAGGAACTAAATGATTATTGAAACAAAATAAAAATGTGTCATTTTTGTAATAATTTGATGTCATTGCAGGTGTCATCCGAAAGATATCAACAATGTGGTTTTTCATCGTTCATATCCCTTGTTTGCAACATGTTCAGACGATGGCACTGCATATGTTTTTCACGGAATGGTTTATTCTGATCTCAATCAAAATCCTCTTATTGTTCCTTTGGAAATTCTACGGGGCCATGCAAGTTCAAATGGGAGAGGTGAGACTTCTGTTTATGTTTTTGTTATCTTGGTTGAGACTTTGCAAATTGTCTGATATTTGGAGTTATTCTTTGAGTCTTAGGTAAACATATTGTGGTTGTAGACGAGTCTTGACTGTTGACTAAAGTTGAGATTCAATTTTGTGCAAAAAAATTAAGTAGATGTGTTTTTTGTAACTGCAAAATCAGTGCTGGATAGTCTTGTCTGCAGAGTATGTAATGCTACCTACTGCTTAGGTGGGTGGTTGTAGGACATGCATTAAAGTACCACAATAAAATACACAATAAAATACCACAAGCATAGATGATTCATTCATTAATGTTGGAGGACATGCATTAAAGTACCACAATAAAATACACAACGATAATATGTTTCTCTTAATCTTGCAAGATTTAAAAAGCCACAAGTATTTGTGCTTGATATTGTGAATGTTCCTCAATACATCTTGTTCTACTTACAAGCTACCATTTGTACAATTGCTAAGTTAGAGTTTAGATAGACTTAGCTGCATGGTCATCGTTGCTGAGATGATCCGTAAGTGTTTGATCAACCAATAAAATAGGGGTGGAAATAGACTGGGTCAAGTTAGGCTTAGGCTTTGCCAAGCCTAAGTCTGACCTGCCAAAAAAATTGAAGCCTAAATCAGACCCGTAGCCTATTATAGGCTTATTTTAAGCCTGAGCCTGGTCTTTTCTAAGGCCTGGTTAGAATGTTAGCCTACATAAAAGCCTATCCTATGATTTTAGACATATGTAAATAAACAATTAAAATAATGTTTAAATAGACTTACAAACCAGAAAACCAATGAGACTAAAACGTTTTACATTGACTTATTTTAACTTACCTATTAACATAAGTTTTGTGAGACTATTTGTTTAAGATAACTTATGAAAACAATTTTTAACATTGTTTATAAGGTGTTTTCATCTTATTTTTACAAGTTCTCCAAAATAATCAATTTTTATTTATGTATTTTAATTCAAAGTACAAAACATAACATAATGATAGTAAAAAAATTATTTATATTTATTTAAATAGGCCGATCTGTTAGGCTTAAAAGACTTTTTTAATGGCATGAGGTTTAACTTTTTAAATTAATTATACTTATAGAAAAGTCTAGGTTTTTTATATTTAAAAAAAATGCTTGGCCTAGTTATCGGCATGCTCTATTTCCACCCCTATCAACCAACCATAAGTATTATGGATTTATGTTTGATGTATTGTGTCATCGTTCCACAATACACGTTTTTCTACTTACATGCTAACATTTGTACAAGACATTCTTTAATCTCACCTCTTGGTTGTATGCATTGCAGGGATATTGGACTGTAAATTTCACCCCAGACAACCCTGGTTATTTACTGCCGGAGCTGATAAGTTGATCAAACTTTACTGTCACCACTAAAACATGTTCGGCCAGACTCATGCATGATAGACTGATGATCTATAAGTCGGATGGCTATCTCCAGTTTTGTCTTCCAATTTTAAACAGAAAGCTGAAGCCACTCTATCCCAAATGGTCGAGTTTCTAGCTCTATATTTTCAGTTGTTTTAAGGAAATTGCTTGAATTTGTATTCGCCACTTGTCTTCTTTTAACCTTATGTTAAAATGTCAGGAATTTGTACTCCCAAAAATCCGCATGTCGAATTCATGTCACGTTTTCATTGCATGTATATCAAGGCTGTGAAATTTGAGTTTCTATGATAACAAATTTTGTAGGTAGAATTGATTTAGAAACTATTAAATATTTTTGATTGAATGCTTGTAAAGAATTTCTTTATTTAAAGTCATTGTTCTAGGTATTCCTCCTTAGTCATATTTGCTGAAGTTTTAATGTGCGGCAGATTGGAAGCGTTTGTTCCTTTATCATTGTTAAATTATAGGCAAGCATTACTTTTAAAAAAATAAGCAACTTTACAAAAGAAATAAATACTTTAATAATACAAAGTTCATCCCTGGGGCCTTCTGTTAAACGTTTTTAGCTTTACGACTAGTTGCAAAGACACTAATGTAATCTGCTCAATCTCTATCTTAACATTCTCATGTTCTACTTTGTAAGAAAATCATTTTCGTTTTCTCTTCTTTAACTCTGGTTATGCTTTCTTGAGGGCAAATTTGTTCACCTTGTAATGTTACGTGAGGAGTAGATACTCATATTAATCCTTAAGTCCCAAATGGTCCCTTCAGATACCACTTAAAGGGTTATTTAATTGGAAATCTCTTATTGAGAAGACACTCCATCAGTTGACTTAAGTCAAAATAGTTGAGATATTACAATTAGCCATGATAATATAACTTGTACTCACGAATATTCATTCGAATCTGTCTTAAAGTTGATGATGAAAATCCGCGTTGATTGAGTTTTGGATTTGAATTTTTCTGTACGAATATTCATTCGAATCTGTCTTAAAGTTGATGGTGAAAATCCGCGTTGATTGAGTTTTGGATTTGAATTTTTCTCAATAGTAAAATACAAGGATGAGTCGGATAATGAGGATATTAATATTCATCCCGAATCCGTCCTTGAATCCACTCCATTTATTTTATTATGTACATTATTTTTTAAAAATAAAAATAGAATATTAAATATGTGATTAATGTTTTGATATTTTGATTTGTATTTATTATTTAAAATAGAAACGTATATTTGAAAAATTTTAAAACTATTTTATTTTATTATTTTTAATGTAATTTAATTTTAGAAAAAATAAATATTTTTATTAAAAAAATTAATTTTACAAAACAGATGGTGCCGAGGCGGGAATACACGGACCTAATCCGAACCTGTTTGAAATGAATTTGAGTTTCAATTCTCCATTTTCGTTTGTGTTTGAGACGAATAATAAAGATTATTTAGGAATTCGAATTTGGGTTTAAAAACGTAAAAATCGTCTCCAATCCACTCCGTTGTCATTCCTAATTAGAATGAAGGACAAAGATTCTCTTAGGGAGACAAAGATTGCTGTTGAAGCCAACTTCAACAAAATATTGACTTAAATCTTCTTTAAAAATCTCTTATGGAGGAGAAGGTGGAGTTAGGATTGGACAATCAATCAGTTCGATCGGTTTCGAGTTTAAAACTTAAATCCGATGCAAACTACTATTTCATTTGTATGGTTCAATTTTGGCCGATAAAATTATAATTTTTGTCGAATTCGATTAAATCAATTTGGCGGATAAACTTGACTGGTTTAATTAGTTTTATATTTATTAGAGTAAACCTATAAAAATTGACTATTTTTTATGAAACTCACACACCTACATTTTAATTTAAAAAAAAAATCAAAATTTTAGGCTAGTCTAAAATACTATATTTTTATTATTGAAAAAAATATTATTATTTGATAATATTTTCAATATCATTTAACATTAATTTGATCACTATCATACTTTATATCATAAATTAAATAATATTCAAAATTTCATATTATAAAATTTGTATTTTTGTAAATACACAATGCCATATAAATTATAAAAATGATAATATTCGGACAAACATAATGAATCTGAGTCAACCATAATAAAAATAAATAAAATATATATTAATTAATTTCGATGAGTTTTAGTTTTTGATGGATCCAAAATAATTATCTGAGTCCGACTGAAACAACCCTATACTATTGCAATTAAGTAACCAAATTAACCTGACACCGGACTCGACCTGATCCATTTGCACACAAAAATAATGGATCAGTCGATTTCAATCAGATGGTTCAAATTTGTCCACCCCTAAATGAAGTAGGTTATCTCATGCAAAAACACGTCTTTTTAACAATCAAAGAACAACCAATTTTGAAACTTGAAGAACAACCATTCCGCAAAATTGGATCAAGAAAACAAAGTACTTTTATAAGTACATCCTGGTATAGTCCTAATAGACTGAAGAATGAGATTTTCACCTTCTCTTTTAAAGTATGTTGATAAGTTTTCACTCTGCAAAGTAAAGGAAAGGAAATAAGTAAAGGAGAAAGAAATTGAAGGAAATTTTGAAAAATACGAAAACTCAAAGTTTACCACGTGTCCGGTTTAAAATTAGAAATGATCAGTGAAACGATGAGGTACTATATTACTACGATGGATTTAGACTTCCGATGTGGAGGAGATGAGACTCACCTGTAATGTTAACATTCAAACACCCAAATCAGTGAGAGAATAATGAGTAATGTATGAGTTTAAAATGATTAGAATACCTGAGAATGATACACATTCTCTTTTATATAATGGGAGCGGTTAAAACCGTCTCTGAAGAGTGCGACGTGTAATACAAACAACGGTTTGATTGATATGAACGGTAGATAATGTCTCATGGAACGAAGTTGTCTCCTCTAAGTAAGAATGGGAAACGCTTGTTCCTCACATTCATTTTGTCTCTAAACCTTTTGCCTTGCGACTTCTAAGAGGTCCAAAACACCATGGATAGAAAATCAATCTCTCTCACAAGACACACAATCATTATGAATTGAAAAAAAAATTTACAAAAAAATTCAAGAAAACAAAGATGAAACCAAAATTAAATAAACTATCGGAGACAACTCATATTTTTAAGAATGAAAAACAAATTCAGACCCGCTTTGAAATTAATAGGGAAAACTCAATTTAATTGGGTGCAGGTGCGGGTACAGCGGAAATCCGATTCTTAACTACGGGTGCGAGTGCGGGAGAACACTAAGACCCTTCCGCCCCTGAATAATGTATTTTACTTTAATTTTATTATTTTATTTATTTTAATATTAATTTATTAATTAATTATTTAATTAAATTATTAATTAAATTATTAATTAAATTATTAATTCCCTTATTATAATTAAAATAATTAAATTAATCAAGTTAATATTTATTTAATAGTTAAGTTTTTAATTAAATAATTAATTAATCTATTAAAATAATCAATTTTTTTAATTAAATTATTAATTTTTATTACAATTAAAAAAATTAATTTTTTAGGGATGGGGGCGGTTGCACCCGTTTTCAACTGAGAGCGGATATGAACAGTAAATTTTTACTCCCGATTAGATTTGGGGATGAAAGTGAGTGTATTACATAGATGCGGGTGCGAATGCAGATATAATTAAACCTGCCCCGTTCCGTTGCCATCCCTACATATTTTTGATATTCTTATTCAAAATAGTGTATAATGAATACTCAAAGGAAGAAAGAAAGATTAAACCTTAAAATAGGTTCTCGATGGTTTGATCAACAACATAACATACAATTGCAAAATCAATACAAATGACCAATTTTATAAATTCATACAACAAAGTATGATGCACTCTGAATTTGTGACAACTCTAGTAATTTTAACATTGTCATATAAAAGTTAGAAAAATTAAAACCCAAATTTAGGATATAAACATACAAGCTCAGACTGAAAGTCACATAAAAAGGTTTGATTTATATGCTTATTGTGTCCCTGAACAAAATGACTATTTACTTAGGCTATGTTCTAAAAAAGAGATACACATGTATACAAAAAATAAAAATGTCACAGAATAAGGAAAAAAACAATGTAACAATTTTTAAGTTTGTAAGCCACAATTTTTGAAAAATATGACTAATGATGTTCATGTAAAGAACATTGGCTGAATAACTCCTTCAATGTCGGTGAGAAAGAGCATTATAGGCAGGGGTGAAAATAAGTCAGACCAACTAACAGAGGCCTACGACCTAGCCTACATAGATTCAGGACAGGCCAAATTTTTTTTTGAATCAATGGAATAAGTATATGTTGTGAATAGGATACCGTTAAACAAAGTATACACGGTTTCTTATCAAGAAACACACAAGGGTTAGGGTTAATAAAGAAAAAAGCAACAAGGAACAACAAGGATTGGTTATTAAACTGCTATTCTTTCCTTTCTCTTAGAACAAGATTACAAGTATACAAGAATAACAAAATAACCTCTCTCCCTTGAAATTAGGATTTTATCTTCCTATTTTTCCTTATTCCCAGATTGAGAAACTAGCATCCTATTTATAATAAAATAGCAAACTAACCTAATGGGCTTTTTAACAATTACCCATTACAAGCTAACTTAGGGTACAAGCTAACTTAAACAATTGAGCTTACAAGCAAGACCCAATTCAACATGCTAACAACCCTAGCAATATTTACTCATGCTAACAACCTTAGCAATATTTACTCATGCTAACAACCTTAGCAATATTTACTCATGCTAACAACCTTAGCAATATTTACTCATGCTAACAACCTTAGCAATATTTACTCATGCATGTTAGAACAAACTTCGACTACAACACGCATTACTTGCGAACAGACTTCGACCACACTAAAGTTCGATCCAATGTCTCACAGTATATTAATTCAAAACGGCGATCAATACAGCGTAAGGTGATCCAACCGACAAAAAAGACTCAAGATTACATCATAAAACTAATAAGATGTT